AAAAGAAATGTGTGGGATGCTGTACATCAGAGATGGGAAAGGTCTGGCCCCAGGGCAGTTTTTCCAGCCCCCACCAGCAACCATTAACAGAGATTTGCATTGCTTCTAATGGTTACGTCCAAGTTGTAATGCATTGCCTCCAAACTCGAACACGCTCTATTCCAGCTCTGATTAAATCCATGCTGCGACGGGTCTGCGTTAGCAAAGGGGACTAAAATAGAAACCCATCTGCCACTCGGAGGCTGTTTCCAAAGGCCATCCTGACACAAGGACACACTCTGTCCTGGTTGCTTTGGCTCTCCAGTGCTGGATGCCTCCCAAAGGGCTGGTGATCCATCAGACAGATGTGGAGGCCTGCCTTGCGCCAGCTGTTTGCCGGCGCGGCTTCTGGATTGCCAACCTGCTCTTTGCCACAGCGCTGGCAACAATGGCCGCTCTGTCCGTCCTGGCATCCCTGAGGCCTGGGGACTGTCAGGGGGACAAAGACCCCAGTCTTCCAGGACTCACAAAAAGGGATCCCCAGCCCCCTTACCCCCACCCCATTTTCCATTCGGCTGCAGGCAAAAGACAACTGGGGATTGTAAGGTTGCTGGCCTTCTGGGGTTTGAGGGCAAGAGCTTCAGGAAAGCGAAGGACCATCATGAGGGATGGGATCTGATTTGATGTGATTTGTTTTGATGTTTTGAATACTGTACACCGCCCCAATTGCTTGGCAGAGGGGCAGGATATAAATAAAAATTATTATTATTATTATTATTATTATTATTATCATCGTATGCCCGTTGTCGTATGCCCACTCAGCAGCCTGTCAGCTGGGCAAAAAAGGGGCCTTCCCTCCCCATCCTGATGAATATTTTCATCCAGCAGCTCCCGAGAGACCGGGGTGGACTCTAGACCCCATATCCCCTCCCTTCCCTAGACTTCCCCTTCAGGCGTCGGCACGGTATTTTTGGCCTGGGCTGAACGATTTGACTGTCTGCTGAACCCGGAGCAGATGAATTTATGTCCCAAAAAAAAAAAAGGCCAGTCCCAGGCAGGAAATTTTTGCCAGGAAACTGGGTCACATCTCCCAACCGGCCATGCGCACTACACTTTCCATGTTGGTTGCATTCAGGAACAATGAGTTGACTATGTGCCGGCCCCATAAAGGCAACCCAGTTTGTAGACTGGCATCCGCTGTTCTAAATTTAAAAAAAAGAGGTTCCACCTAAACATTAAGAGGAGCATCCTGGAGATGTGTGGCAGTGGAACGGAGAACCTCGGAGGGTGGCAGGTTCTTCTCCTTTGGAGGTCTTTAAGCAAAGTTTGGATGGCTGTCATTTGGGAATGGTTTCGTTGTGTGTTCCTGCATGGCAGGGGGTTCGACTAGGTGGCCCTTGACATAAATAAGGAAGAGTTGTGGTTGCTCAAACAAAATGCACTATACGCCTATCTTCTGTCGTCCTCTTTAGTATCATTTCATATACTTTCAGGTTGAGCTATGAGTTTCAAAATGAGCTCAGCCTTGCCCCAGATTATGTGCCGCCACTTCCTTGAGAAGTACATCTACTCAGGCTACCTTTCGGCAGGGCTAAACTATAGTTTCATGACATTTTATCTTCTGCATTGCTGGTTTTGTAAAGTGCTAGTTTTGCAGACTACAAAGCCCAGGAGGAGCTCTAGTTCAAAGTCTGCAAACAAAACTAGTTCTCAATAGAGGTGCAAGACCTTAGGGCCTGGCCCATCTTCTCTGGGCCTTATCGGAAACAGCACTGCTTTGAAAAATGTGTGTGTGCCTTTGAGTGTGTGTGTGTGTGTGTGTGTGTGTTCCTCATTTTCTAGGCTTGGCATTTTTTATTTGAATTGTATACTCTTTGTTAACTATGTGTGATGCATAATGTGGCATCTCTTGTGATATCACAAGTCCAAGACCTGAAACAGTCCTGACCTGGCAACCCTAGTTCTTGGACTGAAGGAAGGCATCTAGAGCAGTGCTGACCCAAGATGTTTTGCTACTAGAGGTGCCACATGTAAAAACCAAATAGACTGACCAATGAATCTGTCTTCCACATTGGGAAATAAGAATATGGGAGAGCATCTCCCAACACATCTGGATGTTGCAAACTAGCTTAGGGAACAAAAGCTACATGGCACATATAGCTCTTTTCTTCACCTCTTTGCTGCTGGTGGTGGCCATCTGTCGGGGATGGTTTGATTTTGAGTTCCTGCATGGCAAGGGGTTGGACTGGATGGCCTTTGGGGGTCTCTTCCAACTCTAGGATTCTATGATTCTATGCTCCCCAGCTTCTGCCACCTGAGGCAGCTCCAGTGGTGTCACTGCGGGAGTGCGAGGGGTATGGTCCACATTGGGTGACACCTCAGAAGAGGGGTGACACCTGGTTGGGCCCTCGTCCCACTATGAGGTATCCCTCCCGGCTTCGCTGTGATGGTGGCTTCCATCTGTGACAGTGGCGAAGGAGAAGAGTGAGTCTGTTCCTCCAGGCTTCACATTGGGCAGCTTCTTCCTCAGGAGTAGGCCACCGCGGTGGTGAAGGAGACGGGTGAGCGTGGCCTTTTGGCCACCCCTGCCACCCCCTGGCAACCCTAGGTGTACCAGGTGATTCCACAGGTGAGGATGCCACTGGGCAGCTCCTACACTCAACCTAATGCAGGGAAAAATTTAATGAAAGGTGAACATTTACCTTGGTGGTGGGACTGGGCCATGAAGGGATGAAGCACCTCGCTGAAGCTAGTGGTCTTAATAGCCTGCCTCTCTCCTGTGAACTTACCTTTTTAAAGCCATAGCAGTTCATACATGATGCAATCATGTTCATCATGTTTAACGCCATAGCAGTTCATACATGATGCAATCATGTTTATCGTGTTTAAAGCCATAGCAGGTTATACATGATGCAATCTTAGACTGAAATACTCTCCAGATCAGCAAAAGCATGCATGGTCATAACGGAGGGAAGTGTGACAAAAATTGATCCGGCTGCTAGCGCATGGGTCAGGCGCCCTCCCTACGTGACGGTGGCCCTGATCCACAACCATACAGTGAAATAAAATCTAATTCCGCACTCCGTACATGAATGCCACTCCTGGAGACCGTGTTCCCCAAAGGGCGCACTGGAGACCACCTGCTTTCTCTGTTCCTCGTTCAAACAATCCCTGGCCCAATCTTTCCTCCCGCCACCGGTGGATTGTTATTTTGGTTGATTTGTTTGTCTACCTTGGCGCCCTGGAGACTCCATTCTCTTTGCGGGAAGCTGGGGCTCTTTATTAGACAAAGAAAGAAACAATTCCCGCCACCCCTTACGCTGCACCGGCCCCCTGACTTCAAAAGGCTTTTCCAGGCTTTTTAAAAGGATTAAAAAGAACAGGTGGATGCTGCAAGCATTGTTGGGGATGGGGAAGGAGAGCAAAAGGCAACAGGGCTTGCAAGCACATGTGGAAAGCCATTGTCTCCTTTCGCAGGGAGGAAGGAAGTGGGTCCCTCCTCTCCACTCCAGTCTTGTTCTTTGTCGAGGGTGAGGTTATGAATAAGGCTCCCAGATGTCAGGGCCAAGGGGAGGAATCTCAAGGTGACAGCACTGCCTTCAAAAGTCTCTAGTGTTTAGTTGGGGCGTATGTGTTCCTCACTTTTTTAAATTTGGTGTTTCTTGTTCGAATGTCATACTGTTCAAATGAACTGCCCCTGGTTGAGAAACTGACAATAAAAGCTTGAGTGGCAAGTGGAGCAATAGCGAAAGCCAACTTTCTGGAAATAGATTCCTTTTGATTTTGGACTGAAGGACAGATCAAAACCCACCGTTGATACACTGGACTTTTTGGGCATGATTTGTTGTTGTTGTTGTTGTTGTTGTGTGTCTTCAAGTTGTTTCTGACTTACAGAGACCCTAAGGCAACCCTGCGTGGGGTTTTCTTGGCACGTTTCTTCAGAGGGAGTTTGCCACAGCCATTCTCTGAGGCTGAGAGAATGTGACTTGCCAAGTAGGGGTTCAAACCCTGGTCTCCAGAGTCATAGTCCAACACTCAAACCACTACACCACATTTGGCATGATACTTAAAAAATAATAATCAAAAGAGCATTTGTTATAAGAACTATCATGAAGTTGGTTATTCGGTGATCTGTCTTTCAGATGGGTTGCAGGGTCTCTTTGCACTGTTTAGCACCAAAACAATCTGTTTTTCGAAATGAGAAATGGACTCTATGGGGTTCCCTCCTCCTTTTTGGCTAGGCTGTGAAGCCCCCAGAGGGTCACGGAGGCAGAAAACTAGCCCCTGGACCTTCGGAAAGTTTCTCTTTCTTGTCTTAAAGACATCTGGATCCCAGGCAGCCAAACAAGGAAAAACTGCTTTTGTTGTGTGCTTTGAATCTAAGCATTTGGAAAAGCACTTTTGGGTTTATGGTGTTATCTCTGAATCTTAAACTAATGCAGAGCCAAAAAAAAGTATTCAGTGTTTTTCAGACATGATTTCCCTGCCCGGTTACCGCCTTGATTATATTTTCATCAATTGCTTTGGAAGAATTTGCCTTTTCCATGAATTTTCCACTCTCTGAATGAATTTTGTTTACTTTCGGTGATGTTAGCCAAATCTGATTGGCGATCTAGTATTGTGATGTCATAAGATTCGCTCTCTGATAGGATTCCTGATTGGCAAGCATCGTCCCTGGGGCTGATCCAGGAAATATTGCCTTCATTTGCAAGCAGGGCCAAATCTGATTGGCTGTGTAGCGTTGTGACATCATTGGATCATTACAGGATTCCTGACTGGCTCATCCAAATATAATAAAAGCGGTGTAGGGGGAAAAAATAAAATAAGAAGCATTAACTTGAGAGGGGAATGGTCGCTGGAATCCTATATGACCTGTCACATTAAGGAACTTTCCGTATACCTAGCTATGTAGCAGAGGTGCTAAGAAACCCCTTTAGTGAATTGCAAAGATGCATAACGGGACACAGCAAGAGTGTCCAATGTGCATTGGTACACTATGCATTTCAGGACCAATGTGATGTGCATCAGGACCAATGCATACCGTTTCTTCAGGCATCAATGTGCATTAGCTGTAGTATAGCAATAGCATTTACATTTTTATACTGCTTCATAGTGAACTAAGCACTCTCTTAGTTTCCCCCAACAAACTAGGTACTCATTTTACTAACCTATGCAAAGATGGAAGGCTGAGTCAACCTTGGAGCCCTGTCTGGGATCGAACTCACAACCTTGTGGCTGCAGTATTGGCATTCACAACCTTGTATGTTTGACCCCAGGGCTCCAAGGTTGACCCAGCCTTCTATCCTTTTGTAGGTCAGTAAAATGAGTACCCAGCATTAGGTACTTTGCTGGCTCTGCATAGTAGCTTTTTACTAGATGTGGACATTGCACGACTGTGAAACTCCAGTTCCTGCACACATAAGTCCACTTACAAAGACATAACTTCTCCATAGGATTCTGACCGGTGTTAATGGAACGTCTCAAGGAAAGGAACTGAGGGCACTCAACAGGACTGACAGAAAACAAAAATGTTCACAACCAAAGCATTATTCAGGAATATAATTTAGGAATGTAATACAAATAAAATAAAATAAAATAAAATAAAATTACCACTGACAATTTAGATAAATTGAACCTAGATAATGGGGAAATCTAAGCACTAACCAGTCCTGACCATGCTTCGCTTTCAAGAACAGGCAAGATCTGGTGCTTTGAGGGTATTGGAGGTGAAATCGGTCTCCAAATGGGAACTGCAACTGGACGCCGCAGGTTCCAACAATCCAACTCTCTGTAGATTGGGAAGATCTTGGAGGGAAAGCATTCTCTTTGGAAATGCAGAGTGGCTGCCCTGAATGAGGCCTTAAAGAAGACCCTGAGAAAGGTTGACAGGGGCCGAAAAGGAAAGAGAGGCGACAAAGAGAGGAAACAACAGGGGACTGAGCTGCTGAAAAGAGGGGCAGAGAAGCAAGAGAGGAGCCCTATTGTGCGGTGCCCAAGAGGGTCACCAACGAGTTAAACTGGTTAATGTGTTGGGGCGGCTTCCTTAGCACCGTTTGTAAGAAAGCAAAGCAGGGAGACAAAAGGCCAAGGGAGAGCCTCCTTTCAGAAAAGGCAGTCTCCCTTTAAAAGGATTTCGTTCCCCTTTGGGGTCCCTTGAATGGAATTTCGTGGTGACTCCTTCACGGCTCAGTCTTTGGGGGCAGGAGTGGGCAAATCTCCCAGCCTTCCCTCCCCATTGCATTCTTCTCTCCCCGGCAACCTGACAACCCTCTTGGCTAGCCCATTGTGGCCACCATTGTTGCAAAGGGGGGAGAGGGCCCAAGGAACAGAAAATGGGGCCCAGCGAAAGCTTGGAGCCGTCTTGGTTTCTCATGCATGTCAGTCGGGGTGACTTTTCACATCAAGGGTGGAAAAATAAATAGGGAGGAGAAGAACAGGAGGGAAAGGGTGGCTATACCAGACTCTGGTTGAAGAAGTCCCCAAGACTGACTACTAGGCCACTGGTCAGAGAGCGTTGGCAGAGAGAAGTCTTGTTGCAAGATGTGTGGAATTGAGCCTCTCCCCTTGACAACGGCGGCACCAGAATTAGGAGAGTTGCGGGCCCTAAATGTGGAAGAAATGGGATAGAAAGTGAAGTGAGACAGTAAGGAAAGAGTGTAAAGAATGTAGATGAGGGTATGAGTAGGTAGATGGAAGGTTAGAGTAGGTAGATAAGTTGGAGAGAGGAAAGAGAGGAGTAAAGGGGTGGGAGGAAGAAGAAAGAGAAGATTGGAAATGGAAGGAGAGGATGGTCGGAGGACATCAAGAAGAGGAAGAAGAAAGAAGAGAGTTAGGAAGCAGAAAATGTAAAACTGAGAAGGTGTATGTTTATGGTTGCGTGTTTGTAAGATGACTTTTTGTATGATGATTGGATTGGATAATAATTTTTTTTAAAAAATATGGAAGAAATAGGGTGCACACACAAAGAGCACTCTTGTGCTGCCACTGACTTTTCCACCGATGCATGGTGCAAAGCAGAAGCAGGGCAGGACCTTCAGGACCCTCACTTGCCCTATTCATGTCCAAGCGAGCTTATCCTTTGCAACGTGGCTAGGGTTGCCATATTCCAGCCTCTCATATCCAGACATCCAATTTGCACATTATCCAAATTATTGCATTGCTGCACATTATTAATCTGCATTCTCAGAGATCTTCCAGGACATAGCAGACTATTTTCTTACTGCCTGTATCTGCAAGCTTTCCATGCCAATCTCCCCAGAAGGCGGTCTATCTGCTACTATGGATCCTATTTTTATTTTGGAAGGTGCCACCTTTGTCCTCTGCCATCTCTCTCCCATCCTTTGAGAAGGGATACTTCTCTAAACTGGTGCTTTGCTGTCAGCATCATTCCTCACAGCTGTCCCATGACAGGCTGGTTGCCAAATATTTCCTGGAAATAAATGTTTTTCACCAACAGCTTTCCAGGTGACATCAAAAAATCTCAAGCAATAACAACCTCCTCCTTGAAACAGTTTGAGACAAGCTCCAGTTTTGCTGGGACATGCAGTGAAGTCGGAAGGCAACAGATTGCTAGAAGGAAATGGTTCTTACTTATTCTTCATTTGTTGTTTAACTAACGTGTTTGCCTTCAGAGTTCATGTTGACAAAGGAGATATCCATGGTCTGGTTCACACACGTGCATATTACATTTGCAATGCGAGAATGATGATTGATTTTTTATTATTATTATTATTATTATTATTATTATTATTATTATTATCATTATTATTATTTCTTAGCCATCTCTCCTTATGGCTCAAGGTGACGAACAACAGATGAAAATACAGCAACAAATAGACACGCAACATAGTTGAAAACACGGAAACAAAATTTAAAAATACATAGTATAATAACATCCAAAATCCCAAAAGTCAAAAGGAGCAGGTTTTGTCTAGTTTGTGTTCAGGTTAATGTCACATTAATCCCATCGTGTCTGAAAAACGACCCACTTTTGCGGAGTTTTTTCCTGCTTTTAAATCCCATTTCTGCACGGGGGTTTCTGCAGTTTGTCCCCATGTGATAAAGTCATAAGATAGTATTAATAGATCTCTCTCTTTTTCATATGCTCACATTTATTCCAGTATTTGGAAAGTCCTCGCTGCCTTCCTTCTACATTCTTCACTAGGCATCCTCTTTGCTTTTGCTAGGAATGATCCCACAGTTCCTCTCTTGACAGATGGGTCATCCCCCCCCCCGTCCTTTTTCCTGGCCTGGCCCCAATCTCTTCCCTCTGCATTCCTCCATTGCTATGTAAAAACCCTTCTTTTGGATCCAGCCCAACCTGCTGAGCCCATTTCAGCCAAGTACTTAACCAAACTCTCCTTCTTTGGAGTTCTTTAAACAGAGGCTGGATGGCCATCTGTTGGGGATGCTTTGATTTTGAGTTCCTGCATGGAAGAATGGGGTTGGACTGGATGGCCTTTGGGGTCTCTTCCAACTCTATGATTCTATGATTCTACGAAAGGGAGTGATTTGCACTGGAATCTGGGCTTTGTGTCATTTGCCTTCAATGGCCTTCAAAAGCCAGAGTGAGACTTTCTGTTCACTGCTGGCAGATGTGCGAGGCTGGGCACCGATGACATTAGAAGTCGGACATTGATCCGTGGCCTTCATCATGTTAGCCTTCTGTGATTTTTGTGGGCTTCCCAAATCCAAAAAATCCTGGAGGGATATCTCCTTTGATTCCACCTCCCTTCTTGTGTTGGCGACGCAAGCTGTCTCTCCTGTCCCACCTCGAATGGTTGTCGCTGACGCTTGTACACACCCTAGATTGCCCAAAAGTTAGCAGCAAAAGCAACTTTTGCAAGAGAGCAGCAGAGAGAGGAATATAGCAATAGCAAGTATGCCCTTCCTCAAGAAGCCTTTCGCCGGCAGGCAAAAACGGCTTTTTTCCAGCTGGCTTTTAATGCATAATGCAAAATCATGGGATGGATTTTATATGGGTATAGTGGTTTTAATGTTTGTATTTTATATTGTTTTTTTAGCTGATCTTTTTAATTGTTTTATTGAGATATTGTTTTTAGAATTGTATATGTGAGCCGCCTTGGGTCCCTTTGTGGAGGAAGGCAGGATAGAAATTAATTAATTATATGAAATTATATGAAAGGATGGACTATAGTTCCCTGAAAGACCATAGCAGATGATGTGGAAGGACCTCTGTCTACAAACCTATCGCCGCAATAGACAACAATGGGCTTGTGGTTGAAATAGCTTGATAAGGGATCTTTTTGGGTTCCCATTGCCAGCAAAGCTCTGGTGCCACAACCAATGACAATTCCCAGAATTCCATAGCATTCAGCCAGGGCAGTTAAACCGGTGTCAAACCAGATTATTTCCGCAGTGTGGAGGCAGCCTTTGTTCAGACACCACTTTTTTAGCAGGGCAGTCCTCAAGCGACAAAAGTCTGGGAAGCAGCCTGGCTGGAGAGGCAAAGTTTAAATAAAGTAGTCATTATGAGGTCTACCATTTTCAGATGAAATCCTATTCAGTTCCTTTAATAAATAAATAAATAAAGAAGAAGAAGAAGAAGAAAAACAGGGGAAGGGGGAGATAGTGGCTTTGTAAAATAAAAAAAATTAAAAGGATTTTGGTTATATTTTTTTGTAGAAAAGGCCTTCAAAACCCAGCCATTGTAATCCGTCAGTGTGATGGAATGTTTTCTTCATGGCTAACCAAGGATGGCTAACCCTCCCACTTTTTCCCTGGGGAAAAAGTTATTCAATCTCTTAACCACATACAAATATACACTTTGAAACAATTCAGCATTGGGAAAGGATGAAGAGGTCCAGAAATTGGCTTCTAAGTGGGAGGAAAAGAGTGGGAATGTCCCCCTTCCACTCCCCCTCCATTGCAATCGCTGCGGCTTAGTTATTTTCCCATCTGGATCAGACAAACTACCTCAAAATTCAGGGTACACCTTGGCAAAGGTACTTTTGGGGGACTCTTAACACTCCAAATCCTTCCGCCAGTGTGGCGATTGGGAGATCCTTAAAAGTACGGACTCGGAAAAATTCACTTTTCCAATCTTTGCATCATAGGTGGGTGATTCGTCATTCTCCAGAAGTCATCAGACTGCAATACCTATCATCCCTAGGCAGTGACAATGGTGAAGAGAGAGGGGAGTTGCAGTCCAACCACCCATGGGGCCCAATTCCAGGATGGGAATTGTATAGGCAGTGTGCTGCAGTGGTTTGAGCGCTGGTCTAAGACTCTGGTGATCGGGGTTCGAGTTCCTGCTCAGCCATGAAAACCCATTGGGTGACTATGAGTGTGTCACACTCTCTCAGCCCCAGAAAAACCCATGATAGGTTTACCTTAGGGTCACCATAAGTTGGAAATGACTTGAAGGTACTCACCAACAACAACAACAACCAAGCATTGTTGAATTCAAGGCCCAGCATTTTCTTGGATAGCTTTACAAGGGAACTGGACAAACTGATTTAATATCTAACAGTCACAATGGTAATATATTATCTGGGATATCAGAGGCAGTATGGACTTTTGTAAAGCAGTAGCTCAGGAATCTCCCCTGTCCATGGGTCAGTGACTCCGCTATGGAAAACCCCATGATAGGTTCGCCTTAGGGTCGCCATAAGGTGGAAATAACTTGAAGGCACACAACACACAAACAGGAGGAAATCTAATAATACGGCAGCATTGTTCATGCGACACCCTCTGCGTCAAAGCTTCCAGGCAAGGTTTCTGCACTGAGCAATAATGGGAATGATGTGTCCCTGCTTTTTATCTATAGATCTACAGTATATCTCCACTCTGCCATTTCATAGTTTGCAGTTGAGACAGCGCATAAAACAAAGCTGAAAATGGATCTCAGACAACACCAACAGGGACAAGCCGATGGAACTATCAAGCCAGCCTCCCAGCAGCAATTAATAATCCAACAGCAAAGTGCCAACAACAATAGTGGCAAAACAGCACTGGGAAGGAGATCCATTAAAAAAAGACTAGATAAGCAAAGGCCCAGGGACATAAAATATTGATTTTTT